TTTTTACAGTTAATTTATATGAAAAATTATTGAAAATAATTTTATTTTTTACATCAATATCACTTAAAAGGATTTATGATTAATAGAGTTAAAGTTATATTTTATATTTTCAATGTGAATTAATGATAAAAATATACAATAAATATACCATTAATTTTTTTTAACGAATATACTTCTCACTTTAAATAAATGCCTTTAAAAAAAAAAGAATAATACTATACGACGACTGGTTTAACTTTTACAGCCTAACAGCACACCATTTCTCCCACTTTACTCTAGGATTAAATTCCATTCCTTGCTTCTTTGGTCCATTCTCCAAGAACTTGAACAAAAATTAATGTGTATATTTTATTGGAAGAAGAACTTTGCAAATGTATAATTTTGAAGTTTGTGTGCAACCTTTTTTTTTTTTTTTTTTTTAATGGTAATTGTTAAGAAGTTAGTATGAGTTAGTTGTTAGCAACTGGGATTTCTTAGATTGGATGAACATTTCACCCTCTCAAATGAAGGGTTCGGCCATCAGGTCGCTTTTTGGTGGAATTCACGACAGCGGTAGAGTTCGAAGCTCTGACCACCGCCTCACCCAAGCACTAAGGCTTGGGGGCAAACCATTGGGCCTAAAGGCCTGGTTCGCGAAGTTTGTGTGCAACTTGATTCAACAGCTTGTGCGTTGGGAGTCTTGAAATGTTTTTGAATTCAAATTTCAAATTTGCATGTAATCCATAAATAGATAAGATGGACATTTTTTCAAGTATGGATTGCACCAAAATATAAAAATACTAAAACACCCTTAAAATTTCTTAACTTTCATCCATCATGATCATGAAATTCTAATATATTTATCCAGTGTTTTTCTTATGTTGTGCACTACTACTTAAATTGCTTTAAATTTGTGTTGACTTTTTTTGATAAGCCAAAAATTTATTTATTGGATACAAGGGGTACCCAAACCCATTTACATTTCAGCAAACATTAGAGTGCTGCCTCTCCTATCCATACAACAGGATTTATGGAAAGATCACGCCTTCCCTTTTAGTGTCTCATGTTCTGCATGTCTTTTTATTGCTGATCTGGGGTCATCTTTCCATAATTCCTAATGTAAATTTGGATATAAATTGGCTTTTAACTAATGAAAAGATCTGTGCTTTATGAGCTCGCCAACCTCCTCCTCACTATCTTGGTCTTTCCCAAAAACCTTCTGATTTTGCTTCCCTCAACTCCTTTTTTTGATTAAGTCCCATGTGCTACTCGTAGTGGCTTTTAACATTCACTTGAGCTGCTGAGGAAAAATCCCACCAAGCGTAACAATATGCCCATATTTTCCATGCATAGAGACAGTTAAACAATAAGTGGTTCAGGGATTCCTCCTCTGTTGAGCACTAGCTGCACATAATTTCCGCCCTGTCGTTGATTACTACTCTTCTTGCCAAGTTGATTTTTGTTGGTAATCTATCGACGAAAGCTCTCCATGCTAGTGCTGCTACCTTTAGTGGTACTTTACTCTTCCAAATTTGTTTCAAACAGCCATTGTCTTGTGTGCGTTGGGATTGGGTGATCTGATGGTAAGCTGACCTTGTTGTATAATTCCCTGTGCTTTCCCATCTCCATGTCCAGTGGTCTTCTTGCCCTTGTTTCAGATGAACCTGGCTCAACATTCCTGTTAATTCCTGCAATAAATTATGTTCCCATACAAAAAGGTTTCTACGCCAACTCCACTGCCATTCTCCTACCCTTTCACTGTCACCTTTTACTTCAGCTATTGAACCACTTTTGTTTGTAGCTAAAGAGAATAATCTTGGGAGTCTCTCTTTTAGGCTTACTCCTTCTATCCACACATCTTCCCAAAATAGTGTCTCCTTGCCATCCCTTATCTTTCTAACACA